AGGGCAGGGCTGGCTTCCTCTCCTGTGATCCCCAGGGCTTAGCCCAGCCCTGGCACACAGCAGGCGCCTAATAAATGGTTACTGATTAATTGTTGTCTCCCCCCCTTGACCAGAAGCTTCCCGAGGGCAGGCAGGTAGACGCCGCCCGGACGCACCACCGCCCCCTGCAGGAGCGAGGCCGCCTGTCCCCGCGCACGCGCAGTATGCGCCGACGCCGTCAGCCCCGCCCCGCGCAGGCGCACGCAGCACGCACACGCCCGTCGGGCGGGGGCGCGCTCACCGGTGGAAGGAGATCCCGCGGGTCCGGGTCTCGCGCGTGTCGCGGGTGCAGCAGCCCGCGGCCGAGCAGTGCCGGGGCATCTGCGGGAGAGAGGGCAGAGGGGCGTGGCCTCAGCCGACGCGCGGGGTCCTCCCTCCGCCTGCTCCGGCCGCGCCGCCCCGACCCTTCCCGCCCCTCCCCTCCGCCCGGCCTCGCCCCCTTCCCCCCGCCCGGGTCCGCCCCCGGCCCCTCTCCCTCTCGGCCGCACTCACGACTCCTCCATCGCGACGCCACGGACGTGGTCTCGCGAGAGCGCGCCCACCGTTATAGGGCGTGCGAGGGGGCGGAGCTCGCGCCTGCGCAATGAGGCTGGGGCAGGTGACCGGGTTACCCAGGGTACTTCGCGGCGGCGGGGATAGAGCGAGGCTCCGAAGGATGGATGGCGCGGACTGGGAGGGGGCAGGGCCGTGCGTTGATAGGACGGGGAGGAGAATAGACTCTGCCAATCAGAGGGGCCGGGGCGGGGCCGGGGCTGATAGGTACTTGGCTCAGGTCGGCCCTGGCGTAAGCCCTCCCCTGGGGAAATTCTTATACCCGATTTAGACTTGGGGAAACTGAGGCTCCGAAGGAGGGAGGGAGGGGAGGGAGCAGGCATTTATTTAGCACCTACTGTGTACCAGGCATATAGAACTAAATTCTTCCCCCTGGAGGGCAGGTGCTGTAATTTTCCCCATTTCACAGTTGAGGAAACTGAGGCAGAGAGGTGATGTGACCTGCTCAGGGTCACACGGTCAATGTGGCAACATTCCACATTAAGCTCCTGCCCTATGCCAGATATTGTGCTAAGCGCTAGGGATACATGCAAATAAAGGCACAGCTTCTGCCCTCCACAAACGAAGCTGGAAATGGGGATGGGTCCAGAAGCAGGGTAGCTGGTGGGAAATGGGGCAGAGGCCCTGCTCTGTAGTCAGAGGGGTCTGATGAGTGGGTGTGTGGCAGGATTTGAACTCGGGACATCCTGACTCCAGGTCCAGCACTGCATCCACCTGGTGCTGCTTGCAGGCCCTGCGGGTCAGCAGAGGCGGCTGGATTTGGAGTTACAGGGGCTGGTTTCAGATGCTGGCTATGTTGCGATTCCTGTGGGACCAAGTCTGTCTGTGCCTCAGTTTCCTTGACTGTAAAATGTGATGGGACTGGATTAGATAACATCCCCCTGACTTGAAGATGTTCAGTGAGGGAGAGGCTATCATCACCTGAGGCAGCCTGTTCCACTGTGCGACAGCTGTGGTTCTGGCTGTTCCCAGCCTTCCTCTTTTTCTCTTTTGCTTTCTTTAAAAAATGCCACACTTGCCCTCTTTTCTTCCATTTTTTTTTTAACAGCCCCATTGCTGCCTCTTCTCCCATCATCCTCTCATCAAATGGAAAGAATTCAAACAAAAAGCCCTTTTAACAAACGTGCCTGCACCGGTCCTCGCATGGAGGCCTCGTTCTGCCCCCATGACCATCATCTCGACCGGAAGGTGAACAGCAGGCTTCATGGCCAGGCCTCTGAAACCTCAGGCGGACGGCACGCCCTAATTGGCTCTTAATGACAGGACCTGCTCTTGATGAAGGCGCCTTCGCTAGCCCTTCCTTTTCCAGCGTATTCCATACCCATCCCTTTAATGACGTGTAACGTGGCTGGCTGGGGCCCCACTGTCCCAGGGCCAGGCCTGTTACATCTCTCCCTCTGGGCTCTCCGTACCCACTACATTTCCCCTATTTTCAAGGGGCAACTCGGGCCCATTTATTGTTTAGTTGTTTTTCAGTCGTGTCTGCCTAGTGACCCCCTTTGGGGTTTTCTTGGTAAAGATGCTTGGAGGGGTTTGTCATTTCCTTCTCCAGCTCATTTGACAGAAGAGGAAACTGAGGCAAACAGGGTGAAGTAACTTGTCCAGGGTCACCCAGCTAGTAGGTGTCTGAGGCCAGATTTGAATGGGTCTTCCTGACTCCGGGCCCAGCACTTTATCATCTGCGTCACCAGCTACCCCATGACAATTTTACTAAAGGCAATTAACCACATTGGCTCTTTGCTATTAACTGAATGGGGCTCTCATCAAATCTCCCTGCTCATCTTGGGCACCAGATCTCTTATTAGCCATTTTTGTTTCATCTTTTCAGAAGAGGGAAGGTAAGACACGAGTGCCTCTGGTCATCACCTCACCTCGCCAGACCTTTGCATTCATGTGCTCTTGCTTCTACCTTCCACAACCAATCAATACATGCTCATTTACTGGGAGTCCAGCATGTGCCCACGGCACTCCAGATGGTGCCACCCCACGTGGAGAACCTGGGGAGCTGTTTCTGGGAGGATCACGACAATGTGGTCAGTGCCTCGAGGAGAGACTGTGGAGCATGTGGAGACACCCTGGGTTGGTTCTGGTCAGCTAACCACGTGTTGAGGCAGCCGAGTTGGCTGCCGGGGCATTCACAGAGGCCTGGCAGCCTCAGCCATCTCTGCCTCCCTCGCCGCTTGGGGCACCTGTGACTCCTTCCCTCGTGGCATCCCGTGAAGGGAGAGGACTCAGAAGGCTGGGGAGCATTGCGGCCAGGCTAGCACCAGTGCTCGGGGGACCTGCACCCACTGGAGGGCACAGGTGATGCCTTTGGACAGGAACTAGGGGAGATAAACGTTGTCCTCTCAGCGGACTCAGGTGGGCCAAGGACAGCGTGTCCCACAGACGTTCAGGGAATCGTTTGTTTGTCCTGGCTGAATTGGAAGTAAAAATCCTTTTGTAAAACATAATTCACATTAGGGCAGCTGGGTGGCGCACTGGATAGATAGAGCACTGGACATGCAATCAGGAGGACCTGAGTTCAGATATAACCCCAGACACTTCCTAGCTGGGTGACTCTGGGCATATCACCTCACCCTGTCTGCCTCAGTTTGCTCATCTGTAAAATGAGCTGGAAGGAAATGGCAAACCCCGCCAGTATCTCTGCCAAGAAAGCCTCAAATGCGATAATGCGATCACAGAGAGTTGAACATGACTGAAATGATCAGGAACTAGGTGCTAGTCACTGGCCCCCTGACGGGGTGTATGTGTGTGTGTGTGTGTGTGTGTGTGTGTGTGTGCGCGTCTGTGTGTGGGTGTGTCTGTGTGTGCATGTCTGTGGGTGTGTGTGTCTGCGTCTGTGTGTGTCTCTGTGTGTGTGTGTGTGTGTGTGTGTGTGTGTGTGTCTGCGTGTGGGTGTGTCTCCCGGCATGCGCACAATGCTGGTGACAGCTCCAGTCAGTGTCTAAGAAGAGGCCTCCTGACTGGCCCTCAGGTGGAGCCTGAGTGAACCCCCCCTCACAAAAGCTCTGGGAACTCACAAGACCAAACTGGAAAGCTCCTGCCTTCAAGGAACTTACAGTCTATTGCTTGTTGAGTTCCCTGCACATTTCCATGGGATCTTAACTTGGCGTCTGCAAACTTAAAAAAAAATGTTAATTGCATTTCAACGATTTCCTTTGGAATCCTTTGTTTTGTGCATTTAAAAACATTATTCTGGGGGCAGCTAGGTGGCACAGTGGATAGAGCACGGGCCCTGAAGTCAGGAGGACCCAAGTTCAAATGTGGCCTCAGGCCAAACACTTGACACTTACTAGCTGTGTGACCCTGGGCAAGTCACTTAACCCCAAGTGCCCCAAAAAAGAAAAAAACCCCACCAAAAAAAACATTACTCTGAAGGCTTAGTAGGCCTCATGGCTGCCAAAACCTTGAGATTTTCTTTCTCCATTGGGTTGCTTAAAGAATTCATTCTTGGTGGCAAAGAATTGGAAATGGAAGGGATGCCCATCAATAGGGGAATGGCTGAACAAGTTGTGGTACATGAATGTGATGGAATACTATTGTGCTAAGAGAAATGACGAGCGGGCAGACTTCAGAAAAACCTGGAAAGACTTGTATGGACTGATGCTGAGTGAGGTGAGCAGAACCAGGAGAACGTTGTACACAGTAACAGCCACACTGTGCGATGACTGACTTTCACAGACTTGGCTCTTCTCTGCAATGCAAGGACCTAAGACAGCTCCAGAAATGTCACGATGGAAAATACCGTCCGCGTCCAGAGAAAGAACGGTGGAGTCTGAGTGCAGACCGAAGCAGACTGTTGGCGCCTTTTGTTTGTTCCCTCTTTCTCGTGGTTCCTCCCGTTGGTTCTGATTCCTCTTTACAGCATGACTAATGTGAAGATGTTTAATCTGAATGTGTATGTAGAGCCTGTATCAGATTGCACGTCGTCTTGGGGAGGGGGGAGGAGAGGCAGAGAAAATCTAAAACTCAAAATCTTAAGGAAGTGAATGCTGAAAACTAAAAATAAATTACTAAAAAAATTCCTTCTTGGGAGCTTTCCTTTGAGGGTCACAGAATTCAGGGGACATGGCTCTCTGACAGGAGGGGAGACTGAGGCCTAGAGGATGGGACATGCCCAAGGTTACACAGGCAGGATCTGCACTCATATTCTGACTCCAAACCCAGAGCTCTTTCCACCACCTGGTCAATGGCAAGGTGAAGTGGGTGGCCCAGTGAGGCCTGAACCCACACCCCACACCTGGCTGGCCAGGCCCTTTCCCGGGGCACACAAATCTTCCGTTTGCTCTCACTTTTGAGGTGGGAGCGCCCTCTGGTGCTTCTGACCACGACTGCACGGAGCCAGGCTGCTCAGTGTCCAGCTGGATCCCAGGAGGGACTGGGGGCCTGGCCGGCATCGGCCCTGGTTGTTCCGGGGTTCTTGGCCCTCATGCAGGAGCTAGCTTGGCTTCCTGTTCCCCCCTTCTCTCCAGCGGCCTTAGGCAGGGCCAGAAAAGCACTTCCCTAAGCTTGAGCAGCCTGACCAGCGTGAAGCCGCTATTTTCACAAGGGCTTTGTCAAGGGCAGGTCGCTGCTGCGGTCGCCACGCCCAGCAGTCCCAGGAGCCCAAGCAGGGCCTTCCCCAACCCCTCACTAGCCACCCCGCAGGACAACTCCTCTTGTAAAGATGAGTATCTATGGCCTTGGGATCCCGGTGATGTGGCATCAAGGAACCAGAGCCAAACTCTGCTTTCAAAGGGAAATATTTATTTGTAAACAAATTCTGTAACCAGGTATGCTCGCAGGGGGTGGGAGGTGAGGCTCTCCGGCATTCCTCGCCCTAGTACTCCTCCCCTTCCTCGGCCTCTGCCTCCACCGAGTCGACGCCCACCTCTTCATAATCTTTCTCCAGGGCCGCCAGATCCTCCCGGGCCTCGGAGAATTCGCCTTCCTCCATGCCCTCCCCCACG